CCATGGAAACTTTCATACCAGTTCTTCAAGTTTGTTAAAATCTACTTTTCCTAAGTCCAATATTTTTATTCTGCTGTTCTCCTTGAGGATCATGCACTTCATCATTTCATAATCACTGTCACCCTACATGCTTTCCACTTTCAGATTTTCAACAAATTCTTCATTAGCAAGAAGCAACAATGAGAAAAGCTTCCCTCTTAGTTGGTTTCTCCACTCTTGGTGCATCTACCCATGACACTGTCACTGTAGCAACATGCTACGGTGACGTAGCATCCGCAGTCAAAAACTGTGATGCCAACTCTATGTCACCATAGCAACATGCTCCCTTGGTACAGTGTGCTGCTACAGCGATGTAGCAGCTAAAAATAACCGTGCCACCAGCACAGCCCCGTAAGGTCTGTTACTGCACCATTGTTTAGTACTTCCTTTTGGAAGTAACAGGAACAACGGTGCTGTAGGGGCCCATGTAGAAGTACCCTCTATGTACCAAAAAGCTGTTCCCAGTGCAATAAGAATTTTCTGAATTTTCTGTGCATTGCTCTGTTGATGTCATGGAGATCAGAAGGAGAATGTTTTGCATTCAAAAGCTTGTCTAATCCTACTCCAACTCTACAGTTGGTCCAATAAAAGATACCACCCTAAGAAATCCTTGCCCCTCACACAGGATTTAAAGTCCCCTGTAACTGCCAGGCTTTGTGATTTGGAAGCTTTGGTGGTTATTTTAAAAGAGTCTCTCCTCCTTCATCCTCCTCTTTTGGTGTTCTATAGTAGCTACCCATCCTGAATTACTCTTGCTGTTTTCCCCTTTTACCTTAATCCAGAAACTACCTGGGTTTACCTCCCCACTTCATTCTAGACCTCAAAAGAAGTATATACATCTTCAGTATAAGAGGCAACATCTCCTCCATTCTTTCTTTGCTTGGCATTCCTTGACAAACTGTAACTATATCAATATTCCAATCATATGAACTATCCCAACTGAATCATTATTATATGTATGCACTAGGACATGCAGTTCTTTCTGCTTATTTGCCATTGTTCTTTCATTAGTATCTAGAAATATTTTAGATGACTAGCTAACTGCCCATTAATTTCCCTCTTATAACCTTGTTAAGATTTCCCATAGTCTCTCCTACTCTTAAGGCCTTTATTGAGGTCTTGTCACTTTTCAAAACTTTGCTAAGTTGCCTTCCAAGGAATCATAGGAAAGTAGGGCTGGAAGGGATTTCACAGGTCATCTAGTCCAACCCCCAGCTCAAGGCAGGATCAGCCCTGACTAAACCATCCCAGCCAAGTGTCTGCCTAACTTGCTCTTGAAAACTTCCAAAGATGAAGATTCCACAATTTCCTTGTGTAGCTTCTTCCGGTGCATTAGAATCAGAAAGTTCCTACAAATCACCAAACTAAATTTCCCCTGCTGCAGCTCAAAGCCATTGCTCCTAATCCTATCCATTACAGCTGCAGAGAAAAGCACACCTCCAGCCTCTTTACAATCACCCTTCAGATATTTGAAGACTGTTATCACATCCCACCTTCAGCCTTCTCTTCTCCAGATAAAATAATGCTAATTCTTTCAGCCTTTCCTCATAAGCCTTGCTTCCCAGATCTCTAGTCATTTTTGTCACACTCTGCTGGACTCTTTCCAAACTGTCCACATTCTTCTTGAAATGTGGGACCTTAAACTAGACACAGTACTCCAGGTGAGGCTGTGTTAGAGTTGGGTGAAATTAAGGCTCAAGAGTTACTCTAGTCCCTTGAATACTAGCCAGCATGCCTTTTTTAGGAATTAAAAAACTTTGGGGCTATTGCACCTCTCATTAGCTTATCTCTAGAGAATATGGAGAAGCATGTGTAAAGAAAAAAACTGAAGTCTTGCTAGGAACTTGATGCTGCAGCTTATTACTTGTAGCAACGGACTGCCAAGAAATTATGATGTCAATAGGCTTCATTCCAATGCTCATTGATAGGAAGGCATTCCATTTATCCTTGGCAAACTGAATGATGTTGCAATATTTGTGATACTTCTTCTCAATAGAAAAAAGGGGGCATGCCCAAAGCCCTTTCCAGTTGATGAGTCATTTCTTGGAAGGCTTTTTACAGTTTAAGGAGAAGAAGTTGAAACTTCCTCCTCAGGCACTATAGACATAAGATATATGAGGTAACACTGGTTTCAGAATAAGATAATACAGGATCTATAGATGAGTATACAAAAACTTAGGAGTGGGGCCAGATGAAGAATTTAAAATGAGTCATTCTATTTTGGGTTTAGGATAATGTCCTTAAGTAAGGAAAACCTAAATCAGTCATTTATATAGCAACAAAGCACAGAGATGTTTAGGTTAAGAATACCATAAGCAGGTAGGATTCTGATTATTGTGCCCTTAAATTGATGTTTTTGAAGCAAAAGTGATTATAGAAGAAACTGTGGGCAGATATCTCTAAAAAACCGAGGCAGTACCATAGTTTTTGAGTAGTGAGTCAGACCTGTAAATTAGTAAGTTTTTCACATAGAAAAAGTTTGTACAGAAAATTGAAAGATAAAAAGAAGACAAGCATAAACAAGCATGACTGGAACTATTCACACACAGAAGATAAAGAGCAGACACTGCACTAAAATATTTTCAAACATATTTCTTGGTTAAAGTGAGAGACAGACAGACAAGAGACAATAAATGACAAATAAGGTTCCCTTCTTCATAGGGATTACAAAAATTCCCACCAAGTAGAACAAGTCCTGGAATGTACTGGATATTTCATAAAAATACTACTATTAAATGCAGGGATTCACCGCTAGAGATTTTGGGGGCTGATACAGATAGCCAATTTAAGAAGGCATATCGGCCAATACTAATCTGATTTCTGAAAGAGCTGCGTGCAACTGGTACGTCTTTTCTGGTGAACGGGAAGGTGGGAGGGAAGGAGTGTGGGGGGCATATTAAGGCCCCTGTGGTGAAAGGGGGAGTGGGGCTGCGGGTTGGGCTGGGGCAGGTGCTGTCCAGCCAGGGTGGGGGTGGCTCCTGTCACTATGCACACCCCAGCGGCCAATACTAATCTGATTTCTGAAAGAGCTGCGTGCAACTGGTACGTCTTTTCTGGTGAACGGGAAGGTGGGAGGGAAGGAGTGTGGGGGGCATATTAAGGCCCCTGTGGTGAAAGGGGGAGTGGGGCTGCGGGTTGGGCTGGGGCAGGTGCTGTCCAGCCAGGGTGGGGGTGGCTCCTGTCACTATGCACACCCCAGGAGGGCACGGCTGCGGGGTTTTTCCCAGCGTGTGTGTGTGTGTATGGGGGAGGGGCTGGGGATGCACAGGGCTCTTCCTGGTGCGTGGGGAGGTGCGGGGGCTAGGCTGAGCTTCGCTTGGGGCAGGTGGTGGCGGCGCTGGAAAGGGGACTCTGGCGGGGTCTACAGCTACCTCAAATTTCACCATAGCCCCCTCTCAGTGTTGCTGCCACCTGCCCTGAGTGCAGCCTGGCCCAGCCCCTGCCTCCCCGCATGAGCTAGGAAGAGCCCAGCACAGCTCCTGGCCCCAGCCCGCAGTGGCAGCCTGCTTCGTCCCATCCCATCCCCCCCCACATATACAGGAGCACCCCCTCCCCGGTGCCCTCCTGGATGAGCCACAGCTCCATCCTTGCCCTGGCTGGGCAGCACCTGCCCAGTCCCAGTCCCACTCCCTCCCTCACTGTGTGGGGGGGTGTTGATCTACCCCTCTGCACCCCTTCCCTCCCCCCTCCCTTTCCACCACAACAGACTTCCCAGCTGCACGCAGCTCTCCAAGCTTCTGGGCTGTGCTCCTCACTGCCTGTGTGCTGTGCTGTGGCTGTGCGCATGCACAGGCATTTATTGGGCAAATTATTGGCCACATTAGGCTGATTTCCAATACAATCAATTTTCTTTATATAGGTGCCGATCTGATATCGGACTGATTTATCAGTGCAACTCTAATTAAATGCCCACTTTCTTCTATGTTGAGGGATAAACTTATTAGGAGAAAATAACTGGCACAGAAAAAAAATTCCGATAAAATGTCTGTACTTGTGAAACAACTGTCTTCATGGTAAAACCAATTAATACATCAACACATTTCCTAAGCATACAAACAGGCTTAAGAAAAAAACTAAACTATTAAACAGAAAGGTGATGCTATTTCAGATCTGACAGGTGGATGAAAAATACAGCATTTAGACATATAATAAGGAGCAACCTTGAATTTCATGGTTATTATTAATGGGACACTTTTGAATAATTTGAATTTTGTAGAAACCCTGCTCCTATGTCTGCTATGTCATGTGAGCTACCGCATCGATCTTTTATGGCTATCCTAAAATCACAATCCTTTTGGATATTTATTGGAAAGTTACAGTAATACAGGAACTGCAACCTGCACAACACTACAGCTTTTTCTATAGAACTTCTATTAAATATAATGGGTATAAGACCTCAAGGTAATATCATTGAATGAAAACCTTCATTGGTTAGGAATAGAAAACTAGTTAAGAAAACTATGGCCATACTAGAAGAATATAACTTCTGCAGATGAATAAAAAGGAAGAAAAAAAAGTCAAAGGTATGGTCTGTCTTCTGTTTTTCATATTTTTGATTGTGAAAATGGAGCATTCAGAGTCTTTCAGGAAAAGAAAGAGAATAAAACATTTATATTGTTCAAAATGTATATGGTTTAAGTGTCTGCATTGACACAAGAAAATGTTACAGACCTTGTTCTTTACTTATTTCAACTATCATTCTGTTCATCTTTAAACAGTTATATCTTTAAAGAAACAGTTACTGCTTTTCCAGCAAACGATTCAGCTACATACTCTGCCAAGCAATAAGTAAGCCCTAATTTATCATTGTAGAAGATGGAGTAATATCATACATTAATTTGCAAGTCTTTTAGGCACCACAGTCTGCAAGCTCAGTCCAACTGCTGCTCATACATAGGTTGTTTTTATTTTTTTCTGGGCCTGAGGAAGGGAGGAGGCAGAAAGATAAAATAATTTCTTACCTAATTTCTGTCCACCCAGTGAACTAACTTTGCTTTCATCTGCCACTGGAGGGGGAAAAACAGAGACAAAGAACAGGAATTAATTTAAATCCATCAAATTTTGAAAAAATGTCAAATCATTTTAGACATGTATATCAACTCTTTACCACGTAATGGTGAATGCCTTTGTATGAATCCTTCTTCTACCTGGGATACCTCAAAACAAAGCACCTGATCTAAAGAATGGATGGGTTATTACTGGTTTCAGTGGATTCTGGATCAAGTCGTTAGCACTCACACATTCAAAATTAAGTTGTCAGTAAAGCAGTGGCACACGTAAATAAAACATCTTGTCAGACAAATCATAGGACTTCTGAGAGCTGTAATATTTTCAGATGAAAGACTTCAATCCTCAGAAAGAATCCAGATGTGGGAACCCTCACATCTGAAGAAAGTACCAATGAAGTCAAAGGACCATGTAGAGAGAAAGTCTTCTTCAAAAGATCATTTTGCAAAAGCTGTCCTTTCCTAGGTTATGACTTTTTAAATACGCAGTTCCCACCTGTGCATTATATTAACCATATCTCGCCAAGAATAGATACCTACATACATAACAGAGTTTATACAGACTAGTGAAGAGCTGTTTCTAAATGAAACAAAAAATTGCAATTTTTCTTAATAACTATATTTCAGTTTATTATCACATATATTTCAAGAAACTAATTAAAACCCTGTTCTAGAGGGCTGTATTGAAGAACCAATCACCATTTCTTAAAATGAATTTTATGCAAAAACCCCCTAGTGCTAATATAATGTTAAGAATGATAAACAAGCACAGGAAATGAGTGTTAAGGTTGAGAGCTTATGCTTCACCTTGCTGGCCCAGGCATACACTTGTGCTTATGGTTTAAAATGCAGGCTTTCTTTATAGCAAAATAAATTGTCATGTCATACAAAATACATTACAAACAGGAATTTGGATCACAATCTTCCTTGGAAGAGTCACTATTAAAAAGTCCCTATTTAACCATCAACGCAGCATCACAGCAATACACAACTAACTTTTTACATGGGAAGAATGTGGACTCTCAGATAAATGTGGGATAAATACTGACATGCGATAACAACCCCTGTACAGTAAGTCACAATAGGGCTGTCCAACTTCCGAGAAGCTAGAAGCCACATACCACGCAGGCTCCTTCAGACTTCTACCATGTGACATGCTGGAACGTGGGTGGCCTGGTCTGGGGGTCACCTCATGGTCAGGAGAAGCCAGAAGACCCAGGAACTGAGTTGGGGATCCAGAGGGTCAGGCTGAACACAAGGTTGAAGGGCTAGCTGGGTCAGGCATCCAGGAGGACAGGCCAGAGCCAGGTTGGGTATCCAGGGGTCAGGAGCAGCACGAGCCAAGGGGTGCAGCAGTCTAGGTTGAGCCTTGTTGTACAGACACTTGCCCTTCTGGGTCAAGAAGGTCAGCTGACCTTGGCTGGCCACTCTGGCAGCAGGTGGTGGGTATGTGCCTAGGCCCAAGTGGGGGATTCTCGTTAGTTATGTCTGCTCCAGTCTTCCACTGGGGAGGTGGCAGACAGGGTGAGCTGCCACATTAGACAAGCCAAGGCCCTGCCTTTAAGGCCATGTCCTGACACCATGCATGCAGTGCTATCCCATCCCCCACTGCACAGGCATCGCAACTCTTGCTACTGCACAACTACCATAAGCCCACTTCTTCCCCCATTGCGTGATGCCATGCAGGCAGTGTGAGCCTCCCCTCCTCCTGTTGTCACTATGTGGACAGCACAAAGTCCTGCTGCTGCTGTGCTGGGAACATAAGCTCTCCACCTCTGGCTGTGCCGCAGAGATCCTGGCTGTCCCAGCAGCAGAACCAGAGGCAGAAGTGGCAGGCAGGTGGGTGCCAGTGGGCCATACCTTAACACCTCACAGACCCAATGTAGCTCATGGGTGGCCAATTGGACAATCCTGAGTTACAATATAGTACATGTAGTCTTTAGATCTCACTCGATGTTTATATTTTGAATAGACTCTAAAAGGTGGACAAGTATCCAAGTTTTATAGGTGAGGAAACAGAAGAACAGACTTGTAAAGCATCTTAGTCCAAAGAAAAGACCAAAATCAAAGATAAAGTCACTACACCATTGTGGCCCCAGCTTTCCACAACCACTCTACGTACCAATTTCCTCATCAGTCAATAATTTTGATTTACTCTTCTTTACAAGGAGAGAGGCTTATGAATCATGACTATGTAACATTTGTAGATTACTGTGCAAGAGGAAACACTTTTAAAGGCCAACCACTTGCAAAAGTTGCAACAAAACTCAAGGGAGCTCAGGGCTCTATGGCTGCATAGCACATGGTCCCTGGAAGTGATGAAAATAGAGATTTCAGCATGTAGTGAAACAGGTCACCAAACTCAAAAAACACTCGACTAAGGTTTGCTGTATGATCATTCAAACAACCTCCTCCCCAAAACATTTACCTTTAAGCAGAAACCAAGCATGGAAAACTTCAGTCCCAAAGGTTAATGTTTTGACAAGTTATGATTGTGTGAAAACAAGGGATTATAATGGAAACTGATTTGCAACCTTAATTATAGCAGTCACTAATAGCAACCGCTATAATATATGGTAATTACTTGAAGCAGGTTGTATTACAGTACATAGGAGATATAAAAAATATTGAGGTTCATAGCATTTTTAAAAAAATGTTGATGACTGGGTTTGCCTGAGACAGAATTGTAAATTATTAAAAGGGATAAAAACCCATCTAACTAAAACAGACTTTCCATACTGGTTTCACACAAAAATAAGATTTAATACTGGAGGGAAAGAAGAAGAATAAAATGTTTTTAAAATGAAAATCTTACAAGAATACACAATTAGCATTATGGCTCCTGACAAATGTGGGGGGAGAAAAAAAGCCCTTTACCGGAAACAGCAGAGTGTTACTTTGACCCAGTTCTGCAGTGTCTGTATACAATGAGTGCTTCAGCGGGCTTTATGGCACTTTTACCTAAAAGCTGATTTAATTCACTTTTAGATAAAAATGCCAAAAAAGCCCCACTAAAGCGCCTGATCTATATAGAGGTTGGGTGAGCTGGGTCCAACTAATGTGATGTCTCTTCTGGGCATGCACTGGGCTCAGCACAGGGGTGTGCGGAGATTAAAGTGCTGTTTGCTTTTTTTAAATGTCTGTAAGCAGCCTATGATTTTAAACTCACAAAAACAGTAAATGCAAAAGTTCAGGTTCTCAGGCAGCAATGGTGACTCAACAACCTTACAGATATGTAATAGTCAGACAATCACATGGAAGGTTCATACTCAAGTTTGAACTGATATTTTACGCCCTCCCTCTCTCATACGGCAAATCTCTGTAATACCCATAAATCTTTGACAAACGTAAGCTTTATATAGGAAAGAGATAATCTGTTTCTTGTGTTTTTACATTGGAGACTGTAATTTGTAGTAACCAAATGGATCTGGATTTCCAGGTCCTATTAAAATTGGAATGAGCAGCAACATATCATAAATTGTTTGGGGAAAAAAAAAAATCACACTCTCAATTCATAACTAAATTTTTGGACGTAGTTTCCATTTTTTAAGGAAAAACAAAAACAGATGGCATACATTGTTTCTCCTACACATTACTCTGTGTACTTTAAAGTTGAAAGTGGATCAAATGCAACATTTTTTAATGAAGTTCATAAAAAGCTGCGTACTTAAGTAATACTAAACTATATTAATGGCTTTTTGAGTACTATACAGCCATGACAAATAAAATCTTTTCCCAATACTTTTATTTTCTTTTTACACAAAAAGCTGTAAGATTTTCATCAATAAGGACTAACTACATGGAAGATCAATTTTTTTTCAGTTCAAAGACTGTCAGTTTAATTCAGGTGCTTTTCTGAACAGATATTTTTAAGCATGTGAACATACTATTTTTTCTCAAATCAGTACTAAGTAAAAACATGGATGAATTAGTTTTGCTGAAGCATTCACAATAAACACCTCTGAAATTATCATGATGCAAACAGCCAAGGAACATTTCAGGCTGAGGGGAAAATGCTTGAGAATGTTTTGAGCCAGACAGGAATATATAAAAAATTTATAGTACAAAACCTCAAATGTAACTTTCTCTAATGGAAATACTATAAAATATATTTTAATGTAGGCAGTAGGATGTAATATCTATTTCAGGGGCCAGTAACAAACAATCAACCAGAAGTGAGTTGCACAAAGCAGTACAGTGTATGCTGTTGAAGCGTATAACCTCAAGACTGAAGAACAACTATGCACTTATTCAACACAGCACTGTCAGGGCAGCAGTCGGAGAAGGCCAAAAGTGATTAGCAACCCTCACTTTTGAGGCTTCTAACACCATCCATGAAGCTGACTAGCTCCCATCAATTTTAAGATTTCTAACAGCATCCCTTTGACAGTTGCTTTCCCTTGATTGTTTCTATGCAGTTAAATGGAATACTATTAGGTTACTGAGTAGACAGTGAGAGTGAAAGATGCTATATACTTAGCTGATATAGAGAAAACTGAGAACATAAGAACATGAGAACTGCCATTTACTAGGTCAGACCACAGGTCCATCTTGCTCAGTATTCTGTCTCTCAGTGAAAGAGAATGGATGCTGAAAGGGAGAGTGAGGGTGGCTAGGGACAGACACTACACATAAACCAGTTAAGTGATTAGAAACTGGTTTAAACCTGTAACAGAACAGACATTCAGTGCACATAAACCAGTTTGAAAATCACTGAAACCAGTTTGAGATTAACCTTGTTGAATGTAGTATCAGACTTAACTGATGTGGCTCAAACTGGTTTATGCAATGTCTGTCTTATACCCCTTGCTGGTTTAAGATAAACCAGACTCCCTCAGCATCCGGGCATGTTCTCTGGGCTGGGCAGGGCTCTCTGCTCCACAGCAGGGCTGCCCCTGCCCCTCTGCTCTCTAGCTAGAGCAGGGACTGGGCCTAGCAGACACACCAGCTGGCATGGCCCCGTTAAGGCAAAGTGGGCGGGGGGGTTAATTCTTCTTAAC